GGTGTGCTCTTGGCTCACTGCAACCTCTGCCTCCCGGGTTCAAGCGATTCCCCTGCCTCAGCCTCCCAAGTAGCTGGGATTACAGGCACGTGCCACCACACCCAACTAATGTTTTGTATTCTTAATAGACATGGGGTTTCACTATGTTGGCCAGGATGGTCTCAATCTTCTGATCTTGTGATCTGCCTGCCTTGGCCTCTCAAAGTGCTGGGATTACAGGTGTGAGCCACCGTGACTGGCCAATTTTACATCTTAATAAGATCCACAAAGACTCTATTTCTTATTTCCAAATAAAGTCACAGGGAGCAGAGGCTGGGACTTCAACGTTCCTCTTTGTGGATACAATTCAATTTGCAATAGACTTGGGCTCTCAAAGCCTGGAAGCAGGCTCCACAGTCCCCTCAAATTCCAGGGGCGCATGGTCACTGGAGCCAGCCGAAGCACATCAGTCTGTGAGCTTCTCCCTCAGCGGGTATCACATACTCCCCACGTTCAGGCATCGCCCAAAATAGAGGCTGCCATCCCTGAAATCCAAGGCCCCGCCACTCTGGTAAGGGTTGCCAGGGAGACACAGCCAAGGCGCTGTCCTGATGGGGTCACCAAGGGGCAGATGGGGCAAGGGCTCAATGCCGGCTGAGTGTGCCAGCCAGAGAGTTATGGAAAAGTTCACGAGCAAGGAGTGACTTTCCTTGGAGTTAATCTGAGAGGTCCCGGCTGAACTCCTTAGTCATGTCGGCTTGGACAGCTCGCTGCACGCTCGGGACCTGGCTCCTCGCCTGCAGCCCCGTGTCCTGCGAGGCACTGAACGCAGTGACCCATTTTTCTCAGATCCTAAGAGCTCTGTGACTTCAGTTTCCTGAGTCACAATCCAGTTCCTCATTTGATCCATTCAGGATCAGAATAACGGTGGGAATCAGGATAAACGTAGGTGTTAATTACACTTTTGGGTATCTCCACATGACACTGGTGTTTTCAGGTAGAGTGGAAGAGACTCCTCTGTGGTGGTGTGAGGTCAGATGAGCGTTTGCAAACCTCAGTATGAAGGCCGCCTTCTCCTTTCCCCACCTTCTCATTCCTTCCCCTCCCCTGGGATCCCAAAGTGCCACGGGTGTCCCTAGGTGAGACCTGCTCACAGGGTCTGGGGCAGCTAAGGACCCATTCAGTCACTGCCTCTCCTCCAGGCAGCCAGCGTGGGTCTTCCATAAATTCGTTTTTGCCTCAGTCTGCTAGATCATGGGTCCCCCATCCCCAGGCCGTGCCTATGACCCGTTAGGAATGGCCACACAGCAGGAGGTGGGCAGCAGCCCAGTGAACACGACCGCCTGAGCTCCGCCTCCTGTTAGATCAGCGGCCCCACTAGATTCTCACAGGAGCGTGAACACTGTTGCGAACTGCCTGCGTGAGGGATCGAGTCTGCGCGCTCCTTATGAGAATCTACTGTCTGATGACCTGAGGTGAAACAGTCTCATCCCAAAGCAACCCCACCCCCAAGCCCCAGTCATGGAAAAACTGTCCTCCACAAAACCCGTCCCCCAGGTCAAAGAGGCTGCAAGATTCTCAGAAAAACAAGGCCCTGCTTGGGTGAAGAAGACATATGTAAAACATCGGGTGAGGAGGCGAGTAACTGAAGCAGCCTGCACCAGCCCCGCTGCGCCCCGCAAGCCTGGAGTCGGCCACTTACTGCGACCACTGGACTCGTCCTCAGCCGGGCCGCCTGTCTCTGCAAAGTGAGGGTGGTAGCCCCTGCCTCCAGCACTGGTGGGTCATCCGGGGAAAGGGTGGATCACTGGCAGCCACTCAGCAAGCAGCCCTCTCGTTCCTTGTTCTGTATCTCCTCATTCTTTTCTTGCCGCTGGTCAGAGAAGACATTTCAAGGGGTGAATGTAAAATCAAGCAAAATGTGGCCATGTTTTAGGACAGCAATGTGGTCCCTGGGCAGGTCCCTTTGGCCACCCAGTGACTCTGACAGGTGACTCTGAGGTGGGGACTTCAGCAGAGGGCTGACTACTCTTGCTGGCGCTTCGAGGTTAACATTCTAGAAAAATTAATTGAAGTAACTTCAACTTTTACACGAAATGGCTTTCTTTTCTCCCAAGTCCCAATTTAACAATGTCTCCAGCAGCACAGCCGGGGTCCTGGCAGGGGCTGAACTGTGTCCCCACACACCTCGAGTGGAAGCCTCAGCCCCCAGTGCCTCCGAATGTGACTGTGTTTGACAGCGAGGTTTTTAACAGGTAACTGAGTTCAAATGAGGCCGTAAAGGCTGGCCCAAATGCAGTCTGACTGGGGTCCTTGTGGAGATGAGGACACACACACAGGAAGACCACCTGAGGACACGGGTCGTGAAGGCAGCTGCCTGCAAGGCACGGAGAGAGGCCTCGGGAGGCGGCGGCCCTGACGCCTTGGTCTCGGACTCCAGCCTCCAGAATTGAGAAGGTGGACTGCTGCTGAAGCCACCCCAGTGGTGCCGTTACAGCAGCCCGAGCTGAGACAGGCTGAGGCCTTGGGAAAGCAGCCAGAAGGGATGAGTCCAACCCCAGGAGCTCCCGAACTCCAGGCCACACAGGACAAAGGCTGACACAGAACTAGTGGGACAGGATGGGACCGGCAGAGATGGGGAAGACAGCCCGCAGACTCTGTCCGCAAACAGCACAGACAGGCAACGGCATCCAAGGACTGGGACGTGCAGCGCTTACAGGTGCGAGTGAGGCGGCTCGAGGCTGGTGGGAAGGCACCGCCAGCATCAAGGACGCAGGTTCTTCCCAGCTCTTGGCTCTGCCAGGCTCAGGAGTGGCTGCAGCAGTCGCCAGCTTGCAAGATGCCTGCAGCACTTCTAGTTGTCACAGCCCAATGCAATGGTGTCCAAAATAGCACCAGCACCTTTTCTTTGGCATGGCATAACTTTCCCAGCTTTCCCAGAAGCCCCTGGAGGACCTCCTGCCAACTCATCTCCTTAACGCAGCACAGACACAACCCACCATGTTGGGGACTGGTCGGGCCCTCTACCACCACGTTAGCAGAAGACGAGACACAGAACTGCTCATTCCTGGTGCAACTGCTGAGGATCGTGCTGCCTGGACAGGATGGAAGCACCTGTCACCGCAGGCTCTGTCTGCAACGTCGGGGTGACCAAAAGATCCTAGAAACGGGGTCTCGTCCTCTAGAAAGGGGGCAGGCATGCACAATGCACAGTCAGGAGAGTGTTTGAGAACCGTGAAGGTGATGAGGCAGCCCTGCCTCCATGTGACTCAAAGCAGAGGAGGAAGTGGCAGCCGGCTACTCAGCCAGCTGCTGGGGGAGAGGAGAGAGGGAGGAGGGAGGCTGAGAGGGAGGAGGGGGAGAGGAGAGAGGGAGGAGGGAGGCTGAGAGGGAGGAGGGAGGCAGAGAGGGAGGAGGGGGAGAGGAGAGAGGGAGGAGGGAGGCTGAGAGGGAGGAGGGGGAGAGGAGAGAGGGAGGAGGAGGGGAGAGGGGGAGAGGAGAGAGGGAGGAGGGAGGCTAGAGAGGGAGGAGGGGGGAGGAGGGGGAGAGGAGGGAGGAGGAGGCGAGGAGGGAGGCTGAGAGGGAGGAGGGGGAGGCTGACTGAGAGGGAGGAGGGGAGGCTGAGAGGGAGGAGGGAGGAGGCGAGAGGGAGGAGGAGGCGAGAGGAGGAGGGGGAGAGGCTGGAGGTGGAGAGGCTTGAGAGGGAGAGGGAGGCTGAGAGGGAGGAGGGGGAGAGGACGAGAGGGGGAGGAGGAGGCAGAGAGGGAGGAGGGGGAGAGGGAGAGAGGGAGGAGGGAGGCAGAGAGGGAGAAGGGGGAGAGGAGAGAGGGAGGAGGGCAGGTGAGAGGGAGGAGGGAGGGAGAGGGAGGAGGGCAGGCAGAGAGGGAGGAGGGGGAGAGGAGAGAGGGAGGAGGGAAGGCTGAGAGGGAGGAGGGGGAGAGCGGATGAGAGGGAGGAGGGAGGCTGAGATGGAGGAGGGGGAGAGGAGAGAGGGAGGAGGGAGGCAGAGAGGGAGGAGGGGGGAGGGAGAGGGAGGAGGGGGAGGCTGCGAGAGGGAGGAGGGAGGCTGAGAGGGAGGAGGGAGGCAGAGAGGGAGGAGGGAGGCTGAGAGGGAGGAGGGGGAGGCTGAGAGGGAGGAGGGAGGCAGAGAGGGAGGAGGGAGGCTGAGAGGGAGGAGGGAGGCTGAGAGGGAGGAGGGAGGCTGAGAGGGAGGGAGGGGAGCTGAGAGGGAGGAGGGAGGGGGAGAGGGAGGAGGGAGGCTGAGAGGGAGGAGGGGGAGGCTGAGAGGGAGGAGGGAGGCAGAGAGGGAGGAGGGAGGCTGAGAGGGAGGAGGGAGGCTGAGAGGGAGGAGGGGGAGAGGAGAGAGGGAGGAGGGAGGCAGAGAGGGAGGAGGGGGAGAGGAGAGAGGGAGGAGGGAGGCTGAGAGGGAGGAGGGAGGCTGAGAGGGAGGAGGGAGGCTGAGAGGGAGGAGGGGGAGGCTGAGAGGGAGGAGGGAGGCAGAGAGGGAGGAGGGGGAGGCTGGAGGTGGAGAGGCTGAGAGGGAGGAGGGGGAGGCTGGAGGTGGAGAGGCTGAGAGGGAGGAGGGAGGCTGAGAGGGAGGAGGGAGGCTGAGAGGGAGGAGGGGGAGGCTGAGAGGGAGAAGGGAGAGGCTGAGGGAGGAGGGAGAGACTGAGAGGGAGAAGGGAGAGGCTGAGGGAGGAGGGAGAGGCTGAGAGGGAGAACAGAGAGGCTGTGGGAGGAGGGAGAGGCTGAGAGGGAGGAGGGAGAGAGAATAGGAGACCGAGGGGAGAAGAAAGAAAAAGGAGAGGAGGGGAGAGAAGGTGGGGGATGGGGGATAGAGATGTCTCGGGGAGGGTGCTGGCAGGTGGCCATGCAGGAGCTGACCAGTCCCCACACAACGGGACCACTCTGGCAGTGGCTGTGGAAATCTAAGGCTGTCTTCCATCCTATCCAGATCCTAAATACCTTGGAGGAGAAAGTAAACTGACTGGACATCGTGTTATAAAGGGTCCCAGACAACCTTTTGCTTTAAAATATACAATTTATTTTTTTCCAATTATAAAAACAACACATTATCAAAACAGAAAACTTACAAAATGCAAAAATCCACCAAGAAAAACACAACAGAGGCCCCCTGGTCCCACCATCTAGAAAGAACGGGAGTCTTCCTGGCTGGAAGGCGGCAGCTCGGACGAAGGCATGAAGTGAAGCCCAACGCAGACATCCCCAGACGCGAAGTGAGGCTGCAAACAAGGGGTGCACAGCCACACACGCGGGTTTGGAGTTCGGAGGGAGGAGACCTAAGTCTTATCTTCAAAAACAAAACAGCGGGCCGGGCGCGGTGGCTCACGCCTGCAATTCTAGCACTTTGGTAGGTTGAGGCAGGTGGATCATTTCAGGCTAGGAGTTCGAGACTAGCCTGGCCAGCATGGCTAAACCCCATCTCTACTCAAATATACAACAGTTAGCCGGGTGGGAGGCTGAGGCAGGAGAATCACTTGAACCCAGGAGGTGGAGGCTGCAGTGAGCTGAGATCACATGGGCGACAGAGTGAGACTCCATCTCAAAACCACCCTCTCCTCCTGAGCCACTGGCAAGGTCCGCCTGCTGCTGCTCTCGTGGGAGTCCCTGCTCTGGCTCTTGTAGGCGGCAGCTGCACAATCCATAGGACATTTGGAATGGTTTTAAAACCAAAGCGGATTCCTGGCAACTCCTTAGTAATCTCATGGACTACTTTCAGACATACTTCCTGGAACGGGGGGGTGGGGAGAGCCAGTGTGTGGGGACTCTGTTGACCCGGGAGTACACTCAGGACGGTGTGTGAACACATGCCACTGCACAGGACCACTTAGCTCATGGGGACCCACGGAACCATCCACTCCGCTCTCACTGCCTCTGTGTGACGCCTCGTAAGGACTGACAGGGACAGAAGAGCTCCTCGCTGCGGGGAGAATGCAGGAGGCTGCACACATGTTCTCAGTTTCTGCAAATATTACGATGGCCTAACATTTGGTCTTTGGTTCAACATATTTACCCCCTTCAGCACTTTCTAATGCTGCAAGGTTCATTGCCCCTCTGGGGACAGTGTGAAGGATGTGTCTGGGTCCCCTCGGGACTGGGTTGGCCTCTCTTCCTCTCAGCCAGATGCCCAGGCAAGCTGGCCACCACAGACTCCCCCGTGCTCCATGAGGCTCGGCAGGACCTGTGCGGCTGGGAGGGAGGACAGGGACTCCCAGCACGGTAGGTGGCAGCCTGTGCATTCCAGAGGAGGCTGTGCCTGGTGGTGGCAAGAGGCACGGGCCTTGGGACGGAAGTCCCAGCTCTGCTGCCGCGTGCCCTCAGGCCAGGCAATCCCTTCACGTCTCAGCTTCCTCCTCTGCAAAATGGGAATAACAACCACCTTGCAGGCTCCGGAAGGAATTAAATAAAACACAGACATGTGTCCCGCAGCACCAGGGACACAAGGCCTCAACATGTGGCACAGCACCCGTCAAAACCTCCCACGAGCCTAGTTCAGGGCAACCGCCTCTGTCACTGGGGGAGAAAAAAAAAATGGCCTCAAGTCTAGGCCTGGGGAGCGACCGTAACCAGAGCCCACCCCAGCCCAGAACCAGCCAAGCCTGTGCTGCCGGAGCGGCCACCAGGAGCAGCCAGCAAGGGCGCTGCCAGGGACGGCTTCAGCCCAACGAAGGGCATGTATGGAGGCCCCGAGGCAGGCACCGAGCTGACATGGGCTGCAAACCCCGGGGAAGGAGGCTCTCCCACAGCCGACTGGAACCCTCGCCCTCCCCACTCAACAATGCCCTCCCAGCGCTGCGGGCCCTTCACATTTCTAAGCACGTCACACAGTCAGCTGGTCTTGATGTCGGGTCTTTGTTCATCCATCGTCCTCAAAATGAAAGTCCGGAGCCTTCTGCACTAATTTTAAAGTCGGGCTGAACGTTGAGTAATGAACAAAACTGCAAACACGAAAGAAGAGGGTATTTTTAATCTTATGCATTTTTACTGAAAAATGAGAAGAAAACTCGATCTCTAGCTACAGCTTTTCCTGTCTACGTGGCCAACCCATGAGTAAGGTCTAACTCCTGTTCTCTGGACCGTCTTCCGTTTTCCTGCATTGCAACTCAAGGATGAGGCGCCTCTGCAGTCGGTTCCATGGGGTACGCAGCCCCAGGCCATGGCCGCAGCGGCCACGGGAGCGCATCGCCCCACCCGGGAGAGGCACGATTAGGCGCTCCCAGCAGGAGGAAACCACAGCGCACGCACCTGTTTAAATTTCCCTCTGATTTTGTCTAAGTCTTCGTGGAGTTTATCGTAAGTAGGGTCATCATAAGGGAATTTCTGGATCATTCCAATCAATGATTCTAAGACTTTCATCTTTCTGCTGTAAAGCACAGAAATACAGATTCTCTCAGTCACCTGCACACGACAGGCTCAACTTACACAACGGCTATGTCGCTCACTTACTCAAACCCAGCAGGTGCACTAAGAATGTCGTTCCAAAGCTGATGATTTTCTCATCATGCGACATCGTATTTATTTACCTAGCAACGTGCTTATGTCCATCCCCAGCGCCTCAACGGCCAGTGTGTGCCTAGCTTGCTGACATGCCTCCATCCCGGCCACGGGGCTGCATGGCTGAGGCCGCCTGAAACGCTGTTGACTCTCGAGATCACACAAGCAGGAACAGACAGAACTGGGCAACAGGGACTTGGGCAGGGCACAAGCAGGCCTGCTCTCCATCTGGGGATTTTCCAGGATCTGGAATCTTTGTGCACAAAGCCTTCTGGAGGTCAGCTGTAGGTAAACCAGCAAACCCCTCCCTCCAAAGGGCAGAAATTGGCACCGTCCCCCTCCCCAGGGAGGAGAGAGATTTGCTGAGGAGGCAAGGAGGGGGCGTGCCCAGGAGACAGCAGCCCTGGGCATGACTGCTCCCCAGCACCCATCTTCTTCCTCTCAATTCTTCTGGAGCTTCCCAGCCTCCAGACCGTGAGAAATTCATTTCTGTTATTATTCTTTTTAATGGGGAGAGGAACAGCAATGTCATAGGCTTTCAAGAGGATTAAATAATTGACACGGGCCTGGCGCAGTGGCTCATGCCTATAATCCCAGCACTTTGGGAGGCCAAGGCGGGTGAATCACCTGAGGTCAGGAGTTTAAGACCAGCCTGACCAATATGGTGAAACCCCATCTCTACTAAAAATACAAGATTGAGCCGGGTGTGATGGTGGGCCCCTGTAGTCCCAGCTAATCGGGAGGCTGAGATCGGAGAATCACTTGAACCTGGGAGGCGGAGGCTGCAGTGAGTTGAGATTCTGCCACTGCACTCCAGCCTGGGTGACAAAGTGAGACTCTGCCTCAAAATTAATTAATTAATTAACTAACTAACTAACTGACACGAAGCCTGGACTCTAGCACAGAGTAGGTACTCAATAAATGTTAGTCTCTTGGTTTCCACCAGATCCTGGAGATCAGGGCTCTCATCTGCAGGACTTTAAAAACAGCCCACACACGTGCACATCTGGTGGGGCCAGGTCTGGTCGAGGAACCACAGGTGGTCCTGAGAAGCATGCTGCCCCTATGCCACACTGGGCCATGTGAGTGGCCAGAGTATGGAAGATACTCAATTAATGGGAATTTTTTTTTTGAGATGGAGTTTCCCTCTGTTGCCCAGGCTGGAGTGCAGTGGTGTGATCTCAGATCACTGCAACTACTACCTCCTGGGTGCAAGCAGTTCTCCTGCCACAGCCTCCCGAGTAGCTGGAATTACAGGCGTGCGCCGCCACGCCCACTAACTGTTTTGTATTTTTAGTAGAGACAGGGATTCACCATGTTGGCCAGGCTGGTTTCAAACTCCTGATCTCAAGTGATCCATCCGCCCTGGCCTCCCAGTGCTGGGATTACATATGTGATCCACACGCCCTGGCCTCCCAGTGCTGGGATTACATGTGTGAACCACACGCCCCAGCCTCCCAGTGCTGGGATTACATGTGTGAACCACACGCCCCGCCCAGCCTCCCAGTGCTGGGATTACATGTGTGAACCACACGCCCCAGCCTCCCAGTGCTGGGATTACATGTGTGAACCACACGCCCCAGCCTCCCAGTGCTGGGATTACATGTGTGAACCACACGCCCCGGCCGGCCTCCCAGTGCTGGGATTACATGTGTGATCCACACGCCCCACCCGGCCTCCCAGTGCTGGGATTACATGTGTGAGCCACACGCCCCGCCCGGCCTCCCAATGCTGGGATTACATGTGTGAACCACACGCCCCAGCCTCCCAGTGCTGGGATTACATGTGTGAACCACACGCCCCAGCCTCCCAGTGCTGGGATTACATGTGTGAACCACACGCCCCGGCCGGCCTCCCAGTGCTGGGATTACATGTGTGAACCACACGCCCCGCCCGGCCTCCCAGTGCTGGGATTACATGTGTGATCCACACGCCCTGCCCGGCCTCCCAATGCTGGGATTACATGTGTGAACCACACGCCCCGCCCGGCCTCCCAGTGCTGGGATTACATGTGTGAACCACACGCCCCAGCCTCCCAGTGCTGGGATTACATGTGTGATCCACACGCCCTGCCCGGCCTCCCAATGCTGGGATTACATGTGTGAACCACACGCCCCGCCCGGCCTCCCAGTGCTGGGATTACATGTGTGAACCACACACCCCAGCCTCCCAGTGCTGGGATTACATGTGTGAACCACATGCCCCAGCCTCCCAGTGCTGGGATTACATGTGTGAACCACACGCCCCGGCCGGCCTCCCAGTGCTGGGATTACATGTGTGAACCACACGCCCCGCCCGGCCTCCCAGTGCTGGGATTACATGTGTGATCCACACGCCCCGCCCGGCCTCCCAGTGCTGGGATTACATGTGTGAACCACACACCCCGCCCGGCCTCCCAGTGCTGGGATTACATGTATGAACCACACGCCCCAGCCTCCCAGTGCTGGGATTACATGTGTGAACCACACGCCCCAGCCTCCCAGTGCTGGGATTACATGTGTGATCCACACGCCCCGCCCGGCCTCCCAATGCTGGGATTACATGTGTGAACCACACGCCCCGCCCGGCCTCCCAGTGCTGGGATTACATGTGTGAACCACACGCCCCAGCCTCCCAGTGCTGGGATTACATGTGTGAACCACACGCCCCGCCCGGCCTCCCAGTGCTGGGATTACATGTGTGAACCACACGCCCCGCCCGGCCTCCCAGTGCTGGGATTACATGTGTGATCCACACGCCCCGCCCGGCTTCCCAGTGCTGGGATTACATGTGTGAACCACACGCCCCGCCCGGCCTCCCAGTGCTGGGATTACATGTGTGAACCACACGCCCCAGCCTCCCAGTGCTGGGATTACATGTGTGAACCACACGCCCCAGCCTCCCAGTGCTGGGATTACATGTGTGAACCACACGCCCCGGCCGGCCTCCCAGTGCTGGGATTACATGTGTGATCCACACGCCCCGCCCGGCTTCCCAGTGCTGGGATTACATGTGTGATCCACATGCCCCACCTGGCCTCCCAGTGCTGGGATTACATGTGTGAACCACATGCCCCGCCTGGCCTCCCAGTGCTGGGATTACATGTGTGAACCACATGCCCCGCCTGGCCTCCGAGTGCTGGGATTACATGTGTGAGCCACACGCCCCGCCCGGCCTCCCAGTGCTGGGATTACATGTGTGATCCACATGCCCCGCCCGGCCTCCCAATGCTGGGATTACATGTGTGAACCACATGCCCCGCCTGGCCTCCCAGTGCTGGGATTACATGTGTGATCCACACGCCCCGGCCTCCCAGTGCTGGGATTACATGTGTGAGCCACACGCCCCGGCCTCCCAGTGCTGGGATTACATGTGTGAGCCACACGCCCCAGCCTCCCAGTGCTGGGATTACATGTGTGATCCACACGCCCCGCCCGGCCTCCCAGTGCTGGGATTACATGTGTGAACCACACGCCCCGCCCAGCCTCCCAGTGCTGGGATTACATGTGTGATCCACACGCCCCGCCCGGCCTCCCAGTGCTGGGATTACATGTGTGAGCCACACGCCCCGCCCGGCCTCCCAGTGCTGGGATTACATGTGTGATCCACATGCCCCGCCCGGCCTCCCAATGCTGGGATTACATGTGTGAACCACATGCCCCGCCTGGCCTCCCAGTGCTGGGATTACATGTGTGATCCACACGCCCCGGCCTCCCAGTGCTGGGATTACATGTGTGAGCCACACGCCCCGGCCTCCCAGTGCTGGGATTACATGTGTGAGCCACACGCCCCAGCCTCCCAGTGCTGGGATTACATGTGTGAACCACACGCCCCGGCCGGCCTCCCAGTGCTGGGATTACATGTGTGAACCACACGCCCCGCCCGGCCTCCCAGTGCTGGGATTACATGTGTGATCCACACGCCCCGCCCGGCCTCCCAGTGCTGGGATTACATGTGTGAACCACACACCCCGCCCGGCCTCCCAGTGCTGGGATTACATGTATGAACCACACGCCCCAGCCTCCCAGTGCTGGGATTACATGTGTGAACCACACGCCCCAGCCTCCCAGTGCTGGGATTACATGTGTGATCCACACGCCCCGCCCGGCCTCCCAATGCTGGGATTACATGTGTGAACCACACGCCCCGCCCGGCCTCCCAGTGCTGGGATTACATGTGTGAACCACACGCCCCAGCCTCCCAGTGCTGGGATTACATGTGTGAACCACACGCCCCGGCCGGCCTCCCAGTGCTGGGATTACATGTGTGAACCACACGCCCCGCCCGGCCTCCCAGTGCTGGGATTACATGTGTGATCCACACGCCCCGCCCGGCTTCCCAGTGCTGGGATTACATGTGTGAACCACACGCCCCGCCCGGCCTCCCAGTGCTGGGATTACATGTGTGAACCACACGCCCCAGCCTCCCAGTGCTGGGATTACATGTGTGAACCACACGCCCCAGCCTCCCAGTGCTGGGATTACATGTGTGAACCACACGCCCCGGCCGGCCTCCCAGTGCTGGGATTACATGTGTGATCCACACGCCCCGCCCGGCTTCCCAGTGCTGGGATTACATGTGTGATCCACATGCCCCACCTGGCCTCCCAGTGCTGGGATTACATGTGTGAACCACATGCCCCGCCTGGCCTCCCAGTGCTGGGATTACATGTGTGAACCACATGCCCCGCCTGGCCTCCGAGTGCTGGGATTACATGTGTGAGCCACACGCCCCGCCCGGCCTCCCAGTGCTGGGATTACATGTGTGATCCACATGCCCCGCCCGGCCTCCCAATGCTGGGATTACATGTGTGAACCACATGCCCCGCCTGGCCTCCCAGTGCTGGGATTACATGTGTGATCCACACGCCCCGGCCTCCCAGTGCTGGGATTACATGTGTGAGCCACACGCCCCGGCCTCCCAGTGCTGGGATTACATGTGTGAGCCACACGCCCCAGCCTCCCAGTGCTGGGATTACATGTGTGATCCACACGCCCCGCCCGGCCTCCCAGTGCTGGGATTACATGTGTGATCCACACGCCCCGGCCTCCCAGTGCTGGGATTACATGTGTGAGCCACAGGCCCCGGCCTCCCAGTGCTGGGATTACATGTGTGAGCCACACGCCCCGGCCTCCCAGTGCTGGGATTACATGTGTGAGCCACACGCCCCAGCCTCCCAGTGCTGGGATTACATGTGTGATCCACACGCCCCGCCCGGCCTCCCAATGCTGGGATTACATGTGTGATCCACACGCCCCGCCCGGCCTCCCAGTGCTGGGATTACATGTGTGATCCACACGCCCCGCCCGGCCTCCCAATGCTGGGATTACATGTGTGAACCACACGCCCCGCCTGGCCTCCCAGTGCTGGGATTACATGTGTGATCCACACGCCCCGCCCGGCCTCCCAGTGCTGGGATTACATGTGTGAGCCACACGCCCCGGCCTCCCAGTGCTGGGATTACATGTGTGAGCCACACGCCCCAGCCTCCCAGTGCTGGGATTACATGTGTGATCCACACGCCCCGCCTGGCTTCCCAGTGCTGGGATTACATGTGTGAACCACACGCCCCGCCCGGCCTCCCAGTGCTGGGATTACATGTGTGAACCACACGCCCCAGCCTCCCAGTGCTGGGATTACATGTGTGAACCACACGCCGCAGCCTCCCAGTGCTGGGATTACATGTGTGAACCACACGCCCCAGCCTCCCAGTGCTGGGATTACATGTGTGATCCACACGCCCCGCCCGGCCTCCCAGTGCTGGGATTACATGTGTGATCCACATGCCCCGCCCGGCCTCCCAATGCTGGGATTACATGTGTGAACCACATGCCCCGCCTGGCCTCCCAGTGCTGGGATTACATGTGTGAACCACATGCCCCGCCTGGCCTCCCAGTGCTGGGATTACATGTGTGAACTACATGCCCCGCCTGGCTTCCGAGTGCTGGGATTACATGTGTGAGCCACACGCCCCGCCCGGCCTCCCAGTGCTGGGATTACATGTGTGATCCACATGCCCCGCCCGGCCTCCCAATGCTGGGATTACATGTGTGAACCACATGCCCCGCCTGGCCTCCCAGTGCTGGGATTACATGTGTGATCCACACGCCCCAGCCTCCCAGTGCTGGGATTACATGTGTGATCCACACGCCCCGCCCGGCCTCCCAATGCTGGGATTACATGTGTGATCCACACGCCCTGCCCGGCCTCCCAGTGCTGGGATTACATGTGTGATCCACACGCCCCGCCCGGCCTCCCAATGCTGGGATTACATGTGTGAACCACATGCCCCGCCTGGCCTCCCAGTGCTGGGATTACATGTGTGATCCACACGCCCCGGCCTCCCAGTGCTGGGATTACATGTGTGAGCCACACGCCCCAGCCTCCCAGTGCTGGGATTACATGTGTGAGCCACACGCCCCAGCCTCCCAGTGCTGGGATTACATGTGTGAGCCACACGCCCCGGCCTCCCAGTGCTGGGATTACATGTGTGAGCCACACGCCCCAGCCTCCCAGTGCTGGGATTACATGTGTGATCCACACGCCCCGCCCGGCCTCCCAATGCTGGGATTACATGTGTGAACCACACGCCCCGCCTGGCCTCCCAGTGCTGGGATTACATGTGTGAACCACACGCCCCAGCCTCCCAGTGCTGGGATTACATGTGTGATCCACACGCCCCGGCCTCCCAGTGCTGGGATTACATGTGTGAGCCACACGCCCCAGCCTCCCAGTGCTGGGATTACATGTGTGATCCACACGCCCCGCCTGGCCTCCCAGTGCTGGGATTACATGTGTGAACCACACGCCCCAGCCTCCCAGTGCTGGGATTACATGTGTGATCCACACGCCCCGGCCTCCCAGTGCTGGGATTACATGTGTGAGCCACACGCCCCAGCCTCCCAGTGCTGGGATTACATGTGTGAGCCACACGCCCCAGCCTCCCAGTGCTGGGATTACATGTGTGAGCCACACGCCCCAGCCTCCCAGTGCTGGGATTACATGTGTGATCCACACGCCCTGCCCGGCCTCCCAGTGCTGGGATTACATGTGTGATCCACACGCCCCGCCCGGCCTCCCAATGCTGGGATTACATGTGTGAACCACACGCCCCGCCTGGCCTCCCAGTGCTGGGATTACATGTGTGAACCACTGCACCCGGTCGAGTAATGGGAATTTTAAAGACCTGATGGTTAGGATCAATGAACAGCAATTCAAAGCAACCCAGACCTCCTGTGTCCATGTGAACGGCCGGAGCTTCTGGATACACAGAAGAGTAAGTGTGCCAGCAGCAAACCGGTTCACAAGAGCTAACGATGACCACGTCTCCGAGAAAATACAAAACTGTGACAGGTCAAAGCAAGTCAGTTTTAGCAACGAAGCACCTGGTTTCCGGGGAGACGAAAGGGAGATGCCAAAACGCGGGAGGCGGCTGGATGCTCCCGCTGTCGTAACCTGTTTATTAGAGGCTCTGGGGCAGACCCCATGGAGTACCGCCCCCTTTCCACTGGGAAGCAGGGACTTCTGTGGTCGGTGATGCCGCTCAGACACAGCGAGCCCGGCGCATCATCAGAGGCGGCATGCGCCCGGCGCACACTGGGAGCAGCTGAGGGCCAAGGAAACAGAAGTGATGGCACTCGAGCCCCGCGCTCAGCCCTGGAGCGTGCTGTTCTGCAGACGGGCTCCACCAGAAGCTAGTTACTCAATGGAAAGCACCATCTTTTGGCCTGAGACGCCGCTCTCCGGGGTTTCTCTGGTGTTAAAATGCCCAGCATTTTGCTGAATGACAGTGCGGCGGATGGGGGTGCAGGTGTTTTTCCCTTAACATCCTTGTGTGGAAAAACTTACAGGTAAAAGATGCACTACCACTGAAAAAAAAAAACACTGGCCGGGTGTGGTGGGTCACGCCTGTAATCCCAGCACTCTGGAAGGCCGAGGCCAGCAGATCACGAGGTCAGGAGTTTGAGACCAGCCTGGCCAATATGGTGAAAGCCCATCTCTACTACAAATACAAACATTATCCGGGCGTGGTTGCAGGTGCTTGTAATCCCAGCTACTCAGGAGGCTGAGGCAGGAAAATCGCTTGAACCTGGGAGGCAGAGGCTGCAGTGAGCCGAGATCATGGACTGTGTCTCAAAAAAAAAAAAAAATACTTACATGTAAGATCCAAATATCCGTGAACCACTGCCTACATAAAGGCTTAGGTTCCAAAGAGACCTCTGGGTGCTGTGCAGGGGTGAGGGCGGCCCTCGCGGGGGCGCGGCAGGACTTCCACCAGCCCTTCATCAACCACAGTGCTTCCTCTCTGTTAGCTAAGCTGAGTGTGCTGCTTTAACAAGTCAGCAAACCCTGCTCTGGGGTAAGGGCTGGCGACCTCCTGGCATGGAACTGTGGACACAAAGCCAAGCCCTTCTCCAGGAGCAGGCAGATTCTGACACTGGGAGAAGGAGACGGGTGGAGAACTCCAAGAACACACAACCTCTCGTGGCTTGAGTTGAGAGCCAAGCCTAGCTTTGACTGCCACCAAGTGGCAGCCCAGGTGGCCAACAACCATTCCCGTGGGAGCCCTGGCTGCCTGCCGCTCCCTGGGAACCAAGCAGAAAATGCCCTCCAGTGCCCCTCTGCTAACCCAGAATCCCACCAACCCCCAACTGCTCGTACAATCGGAGTAGAAAGAACCACCCGTGTCACTTGCAAGCATCCTCATTCTTAAACATTTGAAGATTCAAGATACTCAAGATATTTCGAGAAATTCAAGCTATTTCAAATAAAAGCACAAGTCGCATGGTGAGGGCGAGTGTTACCCACTCTCTCTGTGCCCCTCCCATGCTAGGCGAGGCCACCAGGTGTCAGAATGACTGGTGCAGAGCACCAGCACAGGCCCCGTGCCTGCTGCTGCCCATGAGCGGCGGCGTGTCCAAACCATCTCTGCCTTTTACCTAAGGGTTCATTTCCAGCTTCAGCATGAAGACAGATAAAGAGGAGCACGTGGGGCTTCAGTAAGCAGAAGGCAGGAAGAAGAGTTCTCAAAGGCTGAGAACAATTCAAATGATAGCTAACGCTGAGTGCTGACAAGCTCCAGAAAGAGTTAAACACATGTAAACACGTTTCCTTGTCAACACACTTAGTTGGCTGCGTTAAAAACTGGTGGCAATGGCGTCATCATTTCTGAGCCCAAGTCGCAGCAAAACTGTTGTAACCTGTGGATTAGAGGCTCTGGGGAAAGACGAATGGGAAAATAGAACCAATGTCAACTTTATTTTATTGGCAGGGTACCTAAAAGCCACCTGGTGCACAAATGACTCCCGGTAAAAGGCAGACCTCTTGAGAAGCAACAATGGCCAGCGTTCCTCAGACGCCCCAAATGTGCCTGGCACTTTCTATGTGGTATTTCCGTGAAGCCTCCTAACAACACTCAAGCTTGACATTTATTGTTTTCTCCATTTCACAGATGAGGAGCAGACTGATTATTCAAGGTAGCCTACGAAATTAGAACTCCTGGTTCCTATGCTGAAGAAGACAGACATCGCCAACTTTACCTGTCTTTCTCCGCGGCGCAGCTGTGCAGCAGACATTTCCATGCAAAAGCAAAACCCTGGTAGCAGCCGATCTGTGAATTTGAAAAACATTTCAGAGTGAAATTAATAAGCCACTAAGTATACTTTAATTACTGAGATCTCAAAACAAAAGGTGGGAGCAGAGGGCAGCGGCGTTTCTGACATGATGGGTCTGGAAGTACCTGTTGAGCACTGGGCAATGGAAATTAGGACACGAGGTCATCAGTGGGGCAGCCGGCCTCCCGGACGCCTGAGTCCAGGGATAAAAGCCAATGTTACCTGCCTCACCAGCTCTCTCTTCTCTCGAACATCACGAAGACACACAAGCATCCCTATGGAGACGTCTGTGCCCACAGTCAGGTGACAGCACCACCTTGGAGGCAGATTCTCCAACCCAAGTCCAGCCTTCAGGTGATGTGGCTCTGGCTGACACCCTGAGACAGCACCACCCAGCAAAGCTGCTCCTGAGTTCCCAGCCCTCAGAAACAATGTGAGGTAATCAATATTTGCTGTGTTAAGCCCACATATTTTGTGGTGATCTGTTTCAAAGCATCAAACATCCAATATACTCATAACTGCCTCAACTCAGACTTTGCCACTAAGGACCACTTATCTGTAAATAAGGTCCAATCTAGGACAAAGACAAGAAAAGAAAAAAATATCATGAAGTCAATGAAATTTCAAAGCAAACATATATGGAAGATTTTCACATGACAGAGGGCACCCATTCTTTGGACAGTGATTGAGCTGGCTGAGTGTATGAGCCAGCACCATGACACTCCCAAGTAAACTAAGGAGACCAGGGATTTGCTTTCTCTTAACCAGCCTGCATAATTTAATTAAGTCTACACAGCAAAATGCATTCTTGGTTCTGTACTAAGAATACTCCCCCAACAGAACATGTAGTCAATTACCTTCCACACAAATGCACTGGGATTTTTTTTTTTTTTGAGATGGAGTTTCACTCTTGTCGCCCAGGCTGCAGTGCAATGGTACAATCTCCACTCACTGCAACCTCCATCTCCGAGGTTCAAGCGATTATCATACTTCAGCCTCCCAAGTAACTGGGATTACAGGCATGAGCCACCACACCCAGCTAATTTTGTATTTTTAGTAGAGACGGAGTTTCACCATGTTGGCCAGGCTGGTCTCGAACTCCTGACCTCAAGGTGATCCACCCACCTCAGCCTCCCAAAGTGCCGAGATTACAGGCATGAGTCAGGTACTGTGATTTTAAAAGGCCCGACATTCTTACTCCATCACACTGAATATTGAAATAAATTATAAACTGTAAATGAAGAGGCTTCATCTCCAAAAGGGGGTTCCCACTTACCTCAGACCCGATTTTGGCTCCATGCAGCGTGCCATGCTGCCTTCCCTCCACCACACCCAAACTACTGCCTTCTTCATAGCCTTCCCGATACCCTTCCCCGTGAAACCTGTGAAGGAGAAGCATGCTTCATCAAATCAACAGGAGAAAGAATACTTATTCCAGACAAACTGTTTTTCTATATATTACCCAGACCCAGTAAGACAAAGTCAGAGTAAAATAGGAAAAGCATAAAATTCAAGTCAGAAGACACAGATTCCAGTGCCAGCTCTACCCCTTCCTGAGTCTCCTCTCACAAGTCACTGTACCTCCTGTAGCTGTTTCTTCATCTACAACAAAGGGCTTAATTAGTGAATCCCAAACCTGATAGAATACTAGAAACACACAAGGAAAATTCAAATTAACTCGAAAGCCTCACCCCCAGAGATTCAGTAAGGCTGGAGACAGGGTCTCTGCTGCCCTGCCAGGAGTGCAGGGGTACGATCACAGCTCACTATAGCCTCAAACTCCTGGGCTCAAGCAATCCTCCAGCTCTGGCGTCTCAAAAGTCTTGGGATTACAGGTGTGAGCCACCGCACCTGGCCACGAATCTACTTTTCAGTCTCCTGAGTCTGATTTGCAGCCAGAGTGAGGTAGCCAACGTTTTGTGAGTGGACAAGTATCACGAGCCCAGGCCAACCACTTCCAAAACCCTGCAACATTCACAGGGTTTTACAACACATCAGTGGACAACAGCGAGACATGCCATCCAGTCACCACAAATGTACTACGTCCGACCCTGAGGACCAACAGTGGGACTAACGCTATCTTAACCTGCAGTCACCAAAGATGCAAGGAGTGGGCTGCAGCATCCCATGAAGCAGAGCGCACAGCTCCCCACTTATTAGAAAGTGACGGTGCCTCCTCCTCTGTAAATTCTGACGAATAATAGGATCCATTTACCGAGTAGGGCTGAAACGGATAAGCAGGGTGGAACGTTTAGCTGTGTCTGACTCACAGCGCGAGCTAAATAAACGTCAGCGACTGACTGCTAAACGTTCCGTGGCTTTCTGAACTAACATTTATGGGCGTGTTCTGTGGGCCGGGCACTGGAAGTCAGCCAGGAGGCACCTCACAGCTCCCCCACTGTCGCAGCACGACGGGCTCCCCAGGGGCTCTGGAGGGAAAGGGGTGGGGTCGGGCACATCTATCAGCACATCCATGAATACTGCCGTATGTCCTAAGACCGAGGAACAAGAAAAAGAGGCAGTTCCCAGATGGCAAAGGTCTGTCCTTCCAGAGGACGGGGCGGCCCCGGAGGAGGGTAACCACAGACCGAGCAGATGCTCAGGGAAGCCCGGACAGGGGAGGCGGGTCTGGAAGAGCAGCTGGGCACGTGTCCCGCCGGAGCTGGCGAGGAGAGGAGGAGGAGGACCAGAGCATCTCGACCCACACTTGTCCCAGCGTCCACGGCCACCAGACGCTCCCCCAATGCGCACGCCCGCGGGACGCCAGGCTCCAGCAGCCGCCCTGGACCACAGCCGGCGGCGAATCCACTGGGGGAGACCAGAAAGAGCGGAGTGTGGGCCCGAACTCGCCACCCACCTCTCATCCGCCATCACGATGGCGTCGAATATGTCCTGACTCCCAGCCATTGCGGCAACCAGCCCGCCCCGACCCCCGGGCTTCTGCAGCCCTTCGGTGCCTTAGCAAACCCGCCAAGTTCAGGCACAAACGCTCTACTTGGGAGGAGACGACATCCACTTCCGGAAGCAGCGGCGCGGGGCACGCCGGGTAAGAACGGCACGCGGGAGGGTCCAGAAGCAGCCGGCTCGGGGCGCACAAGCGGCTGCGGAGGTGGGAGGGGCCGGGCTCGGGCGAAGCCCCGCCCTGGGGCCCCTTCGCCCCGCCCCGCTCCCGCCAAGGGCCTGTCTGTCCGCACTGGGAGCGTCCATTGGCCGCGCGCGGGGGGAACCGACCTGTATTTTACCACCACAGATGGAACCGAATTTCTCAAAGTGGCTCCGAATAAAAACCAAGAAAGAAATGAGAAGTCATCACCTGGGTGGCTCACTTCTCTAATCCCAGCACTTTGGGAGGCCGAGGAGGGCGGATCACAAGTACAGGAATTCGAGGCCAGCCTGTCCAACATGGTGAACCCCCGCCCCCCCCTCCCCCCGTCTCTATTAAAAATACAAAAATTAGCTGGGCGTGGTGGAGGGCGCCTGTAATCCCAGCTACAACGGAGGCTGGGGCAGGAGAGTTGCTTCAACCCGGGAAGCCGAGGTTGCAGTGAGTTGAAACCACACCACTGCATTCCAGCCTGGGTGACAGAGCGAGATTCCATCTCAAAAAAAAAAAAAAAAAAAAAAATATAGGTGGAACATTCAGATGAGTATGAAGATGCTCTTTTAACACGTACAAGCCATGAAGGAATTCTCCATCAGCAAAACCAACGTTTTGCCATGTGAAAATGCAAACTTGCGTGTACCAACAGTGATAATAAGCAAAATTTAAAGTTAAACAATATGGGGAAATCTTTGTCATAAACATTGTAACTAAAGGAATACTCTTTCTGGTAAAGGTTTATTTAAATGGATAAGAAATAAATGCATCATAAAGGGGGCAAAAACAGACTTGAAACGTTATTCACAGAGAACATCATCTGGCCAGGAGGGAAAAGCAGACACAGCCTTCCTAGTAACCAAAGCAATGCTAAGAAAGAACAATGAGATGCATTGTTTCCCTTTTAAAATAGTTTAAGTTCTTTTTCTCCTTTTTCAGAATTAAAAGATTTATTGCGCAGAGGTGCATAAATTTAAGGTACCTCTTGGCCAGGCAGTTCAAAAACATAGGAAGGGCATTTTAGATGTTTTTTTGCTGGCTCGGTATGGTGGCTCATGCCCAGCACTTTGGGAGGCCGAGGTGGGCAGATCACCTGACGTCAGGAGTTCCAGATCAGCCTGGCCAACACAGTGAAACTTTGTCTCTACTAAACACAAAAATTAGCCAGGTGTGGTGGCATGCACCTATAGTCCCAGCTATTCTGGAGGCTGAGGCAACAGAATCGCTTGCACCTGGGAGATGGAGGTTGCAGTGAGCTGAGATCATGGCACTGTACTCCAGCCTGGGTGACAGAACATGACTCTGCCTCAAAGAATAAAATAAAATAAAATAAAACAAAACAAAATAAAATAAAATAAATCTTCTTTTATCTCTTGACCTAGTCATTTCACTTCTAAGACTTCATCTCTAGGAAATAATCAAAGACAAGTAAAAATATTATGTACAGTCGTGTTGAGTACAACACGATTTGTAAAACTTAAGGGCAGGAAAGCTGCTAACGTTGGCAAAAATGGTAGAATGAGGACATGTACCATAGGATACTCATGTTGAAGACTCCTAAGCAACCATTAGAAATAATGTTTCAACAAAAGTTATCTAAAATGCTCATGATATTTCAAGAAAAGGAAACAACCCTCTATCTGAGGCTGCAGTGAGCTGTGATCACGCCACTTCACTGCAGCTAGGCCAGGGCAACAGAGTGAAATCTCATCTCAAAAAAAAGAAAGAAAAAGAAAATAACTCTACATATACTCAAATTCCAATTATACTAAACATTTTAAAAGAATGAAAGTAGCCAGGTGAGGTGGCTCATGCATATAATCTAACACTTTGGGAGGCCAAGGCGGGAGGCTCACTTGAGCCCAGAGTTCAAGATGAACCTAGGCAACATAGTGAGACTCCATCTGTACAAAAAAAAATAGAAGAAAATAGCCAGGTGCAGTGGTGAGCACCCATAGTCCCAGCTACCTGGGAGGCTGAGGCGAGAGGATCGCCTGACCTCGGGAAGTTGAGGCTGCAGTGAACCGGGATCACGCCACTGCATCCAGCCTGGGCAACAGAATGAGACACTATCTCAAACAAACAAACACAACAACAACAAAACAGAAAAGAGAAAAGGAAAAGATAAAGAAGAGTGAAAGTAGGTACACCAAAACGTTAATAGAGAATACGGCTAGATTTTGGAATTACAGTGATTTTTTTAATGTCCTCATTTATATTTTTTGGAATATCTCATGTTGGTTTACACAAGGAATGTGAGTTATTTTATAAGCATGATAAAAACAAAATTTTTTGGTGGATGAAATTAAATAGACTTTTATTTTGTTCTTAAGATGTCTTTAATTTTTAGGATTTTTTAATAAGCAAATGAAATCACAAAACACTTGAAATGTAGGGAAAAGGCAGAGACAAACCAAAAAAAAAAAAATCCACTCTGTCCACCAACCGACTGAATTTTCACATAAACATAATTTTAATATATAAACACTGTAATATCCTTCCCCCTGCCCTCCTAACATGAGATTACACACACCCCACAAATAAGGGAACTGTTCTCGTATCAGTACGTATTTAAAACACACTTGCAGCATACATTGCATTAGCTGAAATAAAATAAAATAGATACATATTTTGGCACAAGAAAACAGCTAACGTTGTGAGAAAAATAAATGGCCACTTAGAGAATAAAGCCAGTGGACACGGAGGCTTATACAGAAGAGCATAGGTTTTAATTTCTAACTTTAAAAAAATTTGCAAAGCATTGAACGATTATATGTGCTCTAAACATCAACACTATTGATTCCAACTATTAATCTGAAATAAAGCTTTGGAGAGATTTCCCGTCCCTAGTCACCAATTTGTTCCTTGGTTTTGTTCCTAAAATATTTTGTTTTGAAGCCAGACTGTCCTAACCTTAAAGGCAAAGAAGGACCGGGCGCGGCAGCTCACGCCTGTCATCCCAGCACTTTGGGAGGCCAAGGTGGGTGGATCATCTGAGCTCAGGAGCTCAAAACCAGCCTGACAAACACGGTGAAACCATGTCTCTACTAAAAACACAAAGTTACCTGGGCCTGGTAGCTCATCACTGTAGTCCCAGCAACTTGGGAGGCTGAGGCAGGAGAATGCTTAAACCGGAGAGGCGGAGGTTGCAGTGAGGCGCGATTGCGCCATTGCACTCCAGCCTGGGTGACAGAGCAAGACCCTGTCTCAGGAAAGAAAAAGTAGCATGAAGCAAGTGCAGCTTTCAGAATCCGAAGGAAAAAAGCGGTTTTAAATTCCGAAAAGGAGTCATTAAATGCCAGTTCACTTCAAGGAACGAAAGCTTCATCTCATGCTCTGTCCGTCGTAAATAAACAACACACTGGGAAGAGGAGGCCAGATGCAGGCAGGCTTCCAATATGAGTTTGACCCCACGGGGCAGGCGGAGGAGAACCCCAGGCGTGAGTCACGCTCTGTCTCTCCAGCTGAGCTTCCTCTCTCTCCTTCCCCAGTGGATCTGCTTGGGTTTAGGAGCCTGCCAAGTGCCATCTTCTACCTGCTTCCCTGGTGGCCAGGATGCACAGTGGCTACCGGAGACCCAGCCCTGCCACGGCCTGAGGCATGGTCCCTCTAGGTGGGAGCGTGTAGGAGTCATGCACCCCCAGGGAGGCTGTAAGAGGGCCCACCATTTGACCAACACCCCTTCATTCTTAGAAGGCCCTGACCCTGGGCCTCCAGCATCTGTCTTGAATGGCTGTGGCCTTCCTCCGGCCCAGGCTCCTCCCTGGCTTTTCCTCTCCTCTGCCCTCCGCCTCCCCAGGCCCAGCCCCTCCTTCTCCACGCGTCCCCTCTCGTCCCCGCAGCCTGGGGGAGCTGCCTCCTTTCCTCCCTTGATGGAGCAGAAATTCTTCCTGGGCTCCTTCTCGCACACCAGGAGGGCTGTGAGGAGCGGCCTTGCCGTTTCCACCTTCTTTCTTCTGCACTGACTGTTCCTCTCCCCAACCGGACAGCCGCATCCCAGAGGCAGCGCTGTGGACCTTCCAGACCTCGCTGCCCCCAGCCTCGTCCAGCGCGGGGCCTCCGGCATGAAGTCTGGTGCAGTAAAGGATGAGCAGTTCTCCTTACCCGCCTTTCCACGTCCTCCTCTGGTCGGGGGCTGTGCTGGTCCAGGAAGCCAGGGATTTTCGGCTTCTGAGATGCAGTCTCCACCACTCCACGTTTTTTTGGTCTTTGTTTTGTTTTGACAGAGTCGCGCTCTGTCACCCAGGCTGGAGGGCAGTGGCATGATCACGGCTCACTGCAACCTCTGCCACCCAGACTCAAGTGATCCTCCCACCTCACCCTCCCAAGTATCTGGGACTACAGGTGCATGCCACCACACCCGGATAATGTTTATATTTTCGTGTAGAGATGGGGTTTCACCATGGTGCCCATGCTGATCTCAAACTTCTGGGCTCCAGTGATTCACCCACCTTGGCCTCCCAAAGTACTAGGGTTACAGGCGTGAGCCACTAAGCCCTGCCAAACTCGGAACGTTTCTTGACAGCGTCAGTGAAACTCATGTTCCTGCACCTCAGTTTGCTCATCTGTAAAATGGGAGTGATACTGGTACCCCGTTCTCAGAATCGACATGAGGAGGAATACCTGCATGTAGGAAATAGAGGAAATATATTGATAGACAAACACTGTGAACATAATCAATTCCTAACACATCAACAGAAGTCGTGGAGGTACGGCGCCTGCCCATCCCTTGCCCTTTGCCGGGGTCCAGGCCCACAGCAGAGGCTTTGTCGGTGCTTGTGTATGTCCACTGTTCTTTCGCTTCCTGGGGGGCTTGTCTGTAAAAGTTGCGGGAGCGGGGTGGAGGGCAGCTGGTCAATCCTCAAATCAGCCTGCGGGAGGGGCGAGAGTGAGCGCGCAGCTGCTGGGTGCGCTCGGGGCAACCTCGTGGCTTCCGAGTCCCCGGTCCCGCGCGGTAAAGGGGCA